AAAAAAAAAAAAAATAAAAAAAAAAAAAAAAAAAAAAAAAAAAAAAAAACGAGAGAGAGAGAGAGAGAGAGAGAGAGAGAGAGAGAGAGAGAGAGAGAGAAAGAAGGAGAGAGAGATGGAGGAAAAGATTGAAAACTTACTTCTTCAACAGTGGTTATGGTATACAGAATACACAGCCTTAGGCTAAACGAAATGTAGATCTGTATCTTTCACTTTGATGCTGTATACTTGACCTCTTGCTTCAACAGTTGTTACGGTTTACAGATTACACACCCTTTTATTTATCTAATTACTTATTTATTTTAGTCAAAGTTTGATTTAAAGGCAGATAAATAACGCACCATATGGTTTTCTGCACCGCTTATTTCGTTGAATTATTTAGGAATAAAAAAACAGTGTTTTAGCGGTAAATGGTCTCCTTTGTCTTCATGGAAATGTGAGATTTTACAGTTTATGCTCTCCTTGAGCGATTGTAGGTACCAATAAACAGATAAAATGCGCTGTAATTACCTATTTGGATGTTTATTATTATTATTATTTTTTTTTTTGTTATAAAATCAAGGAGGAGAAAAAATACGGCTTATTTAATGTAAATCTTAAAACGGATGGAATAGATAACAAACCCGATGTTCGTATTGCCAGCATGGAGCGAGGTTATTATAAAAAAAAAAAAAAAAAATACTTCCACTTCCAGCCCTGTTTAGCAAAGTCAAAAAAAAAAAAAAAAAAAAAAAAAAAAGGATCATAGACATATCGTTGACAAAGATGCCCGATGTTTGATAACGGTATTTAAACTGGTATTTACAAATAATAGTACCGGCTAGAGTATCGTACGTCTACATTAATGGAGATATATGTAAGGAGCGACGATTGTAATACCGATAGACAAATTTCATTTTTCAAATATATTTCATATATGGTTAATGAGCACACCAAGAAAATTCTATGGTAAGTAGGACTTGGAATTAAAAAAAACTTTTTTTCAAATGGGTATGTCAAATTCAAAGTGAACGTGATTTGAAAGTATAATAGTAACATCAAGCATTTCCCTGCGGTTAATTGCATAATTTTTCCGCATAAACACACCAATAGACATACCCAATACATTTTTTCATTTGAAAAAAAAAAAAAAAACGTAATAGGGCGCGCCAAATTATCACATTTATGTGGCTTATTTTCAGTATGATTTACTTCTATGAGAAACAATGTCAATAGTATGACAATTACATGGGGGTGGGGGTGGAGGTAACGATGCCGAGAGTAAATTAAACATGCAGAAAGGCAACAATGTGGGGAGTAAGGGCGCGAGTATAGCAGTAATTTTACAAGGGGTGCGGTGATCTATTGGTATAGGGTATCGATGCGCATGATGCAAAAATCATTAAGGGGGAGTACTAGTATTGGTGCAGGGGAGTACTGACATGACCACGTTCTGACAAGNAAAAAAAAAAAAAAAACGTAATAGGGCGCGCCAAATTATCACATTTATGTGGCTTATTTTCAGTATGATTTACTTCTATGAGAAACAATGTCAATAGTATGACAATTACATGGGGGTGGGGGTGGAGGTAACGATGCCGAGAGTAAATTAAACATGCAGAAAGGCAACAATGTGGGGAGTAAGGGCGCGAGTATAGCAGTAATTTTACAAGGGGTGCGGTGATCTATTGGTATAGGGTATCGATGCGCATGATGCAAAAATTACTTAGGGGGTACTAGTATTGGTGCCGGGGAGTACTGACATGACCACGTTCTGACAAGTCGTCAGGTGGTATTCTGTACTTATATACGAACTTGAAAGGGTTGGTATGAAATTAAATTTTGTAACACATTCGAAAACAAAACCCATTTTGTCGAGAAAAAAATCTAACAAATGTATGTCATTTGTTTAGTTGTTATCGTTTGATTCAGGAAGAATAATTACCTACATTCGAGGGACAAAGTGAGTCGCATAATAATCCGTTTTAATGACTATTATCTGGTGCCATTATTTACTTGCTTAAATGATTCATTCAATACTTGTTGCATTTAGCTCATTTTCAATAAATACCCATGAGGTTAAGAATATTCATGAGTAATGAATTGACTGACCCAAAACCTGCATTTTTATATTACATTTCAGATAATGCAGAGAAGCGTTTCAAAGTGACTGGTGCCATGGCAACAGCAAGGACATACACTGACTCTGACCGATGGAATTTCTGTTGCATAAGCATTGTGACTGCAGAACATGCCTTGAAGGTCTTGCAAGATGTTCTTCAGATAGAACTTAAAACAAAGTATCCCAATCTATTTGACCTCAGCATGGGGTTGTTAAATGGGGTGCTTGGTGACAGAACTGTCGAGACTGTACTGTTTAGATTATCACCAAAGATATTTAATCGCCATCAACGGGAACAGCTGTATCCCACTGGAAATCCCTCCACATCAGTAACTGTTGCTGACTTAGACATCACACTGACTGTGCTTTTGTTGAGGAACATTACCTTGTTGAACCCTTGTCCTCGGTTGAATGCAAGGGACAAACCCTCTGACACAAACACATCAAAAGAAGCCACCATAGGACGAATTAAAATGTATCGTGATATTGTGTATAATCATGTAAACAAGGCAGCGATCAGCGATGAAGATTTCAAAGCATATTTTTCAAAGCTTAAGTCCAATCTCTTGGTTCTTTTTAGTAGGTTCACAAATGAGGATGATGACGCCATATTGTCTGAAACTCTTGATGCTGCGAGAAACCAGAGCATTCTTAAAAAATGGTACTATTATGACAAAGATGTAAAAGTTGAATTGATGCGTCTGAAATCAACAATGGAGGAAACCCCAAAACTTGGGTTCCATATAGAACAGGTTCAAAGAAGAAATGAAGACACTGTTCTCAGAGAGGTGAGAAGTGAAACGCAGAGAACACATGATAAACTTAAGAAAATCGGATTGGCATTAGAACAAAGCGCTCCGATTACAGAAGGTACGTATCTTAAACTTTAAGATGTTTGAAATCTTTACACTCAGTAATTCAAATGCCTTTTTGGCTCACGTTTTATTTTCAGGAACGACTGAAGTTCCAACATTTTTTGGATTTAAAGAAGTTTAAAGTAAAATAAAGGTCATTACTTCAAGTAAAAATTCCTGAAAATATTCTAATGCTCAAGCTTGACCACTCATTGCGCTTTGTTTACAGAAGTTCAGGAAAAACTTCAGGTGATTTATGACAATGATCGAGACAGAAGTGAACTTCAGAAAATAACAGGTAATATGTTGTAAAAAAAAAACCGAGAACAAGAAAGATGATGCATAAATAGATAAGGATTATCTTATCTACTTCTGATTGACATTGGTTTACTGTAAAGGACATAACCTGTCACCCCTACCATATAGTATAGTCCACACACCCCTATTAATAATAGGCACTGCCACTTACCACTTAGCATGAGTAGTTGATTA